ACATAATAGTCATACTCTTACTGTTATCTTAATAATTATGGTTCTACAATATGTTAATTACACTGTTATACACAGTGTAGTCACATAACAGTCATATTCTCACTATTTCAAATCAAAACCAGAGACTGTATCTGACTAGTAGGGGGTTATGGATGTCTGACGTTGTACCAAATGTTTTCGGTTTTTATGTGACTGCAGTTTCGAAGCAAGGAATTTCCGATTTGGGAGAGTTTTCAATTTAGGGGAATTTTCACTTATGTGCGTCTTATTCAGCGAATTTTAAGTAATTTGATTTTTGTTTTTTTTTTTTTATAATTTGGAAGCAGCTTTGATAGGAAAGCAGATTTTAGTGCTAATTAATAGGGATTTAGGCGACCATATTATTAGGGATTTCGAAATTAATAGGGATTTAGGCGCTCATATTATTAGGGATTTCGAAAATCATGGTTAGGTGTTACGAATTGTGATAATTGCTCCAAGGGCAATATTAAAAGTAAATATTTTAGGGATTATCATAAAGGAAAAATTATGTATGGACATATAACTATTTTTTATCTATAGGAGGAGTTATTGCTAATGACCCCTAATATTATTATTTTTCTAATTGTCTTTTTTTTTGGTCGGGTTGACAAGTCAACCGAAAACTACTATGTTAAATAGCTATATATTAATTTCCCTTTTATTTTAGTAATATTGTGTTAGATATTACAAAGTAATATTATTGTGTTAGATATATAATTATTATTATCGTCTAACACAGTAATATTACTTTATTTACCGGACAAAAGAATAAGAAAAAAATTTAAACAAAGAAATAAGTCAATGACAGTGACGTGGAAACAAAATGTCTGAATTATTTTTTTCAAAAAAAGTAAATAAATGAAAAATCAATGCAGATCAACGACGGTGTTGGAAATTAATTTCAAACAAAAAAAAATTAGAATATAAAAAAGTAAAAGAAAAAGATTTTTTTTATCCAAAATTTCGACTTCCAAATATATTATATCTGAATCGATTGTAAAGAGTTAACTTAATGAAGGGGAAAATTGGCTAGACACCCCTTATTCTGGACTTATATAGGTAGAGATCCTAGTTGCTAGATGAATATAGGCATAGGTCATTTATAACAAAAAATAATATAAATAAAATAAAACAATTAGTATATGGACATAAACACCCTCAATTAATAAGAAAACAAATCTCATATATCACTCCCTCACTCTCCAATCTTACGTATCTTTCTTACTATATAATCTCTCATCTTTCTTCTCATTTTTTTTTCTTTTCGATCAACACTTTTTCGATTTTTTTTTTCCGATCAACTTCTTTCTTTCTCGATTACATCTGTTCGATTTTTTTTCCCTTTGGAATTGGAGCTTTACATTATTAAATGATTTTTCGGTGAAAGAGTTAAAAGCGGACAACAAACATAAATCGCTCCTAGCTTGCACAAAGTGATTTTTTTTTTTCTCGTTTTGTATTTATCTATAGTGAGTTTATAATGTTTGTTTATATTTCTAATGGATTAAGATTCAATGAATAGCAAAAAAAAAAAAAAAAAAACAGCAAAATCAAATTGCAGCAATAAACATAAACTGCAAATTGCAACCGATAACAGTAGATTTTGTTGCAAACTGCAAATTGCAATTTTTGCATTGATAGAATATTTTTTATAATTTTATTGTTATTTTTTGCATTTTTATGATATGTATGATATTTTTGTTTTGTATTTTTATTTTTATTATTTGCATTTCGATATTGCATATCATATTTTCATTTTATTGTTTGTAATTAGATGATGCTGATTTTTTTACTTGTTCGGTTTGTTGTTTGATTTGGCGAATTCATAGGTAGTTTGTTGTTTTAAATTCAATAATGCAAGTTTTGATTATAAGTTTGCTATTTCCATTTTACAGAGTCATAAGCGGACACGGCTGCGGCAGTAGCGCAGCGTACGTAGCGGTGGTGCGTTTTTTACAACCTGAGTTGTTACCGAACAACAAACAATTTCTAAACAGCAAATGACACGAAGGCAAATTGGGAAACAACAAATCGAACGAAGGAAAACGGAATGAAGGCAAACTGCAAACGACCTTGTAAATTGCAAACGCTCAGACACCCAAACCTATGGAAGGCTTCAGAATGTGTGGAGATTTTGGTTTTGAAGAAACAGGGAAGAAATCGATATCAAGAGATTTGCAATTCTAATTTTCGGATTTGCAGTATAATAGGGAGAAAAATAGGGGATTTGATTTTGATGATTTATTTTACCATATATTGATAGGGGTACTTTTGACAAATTACAAATAATAAAATCTGCTGGAAATTAGAGTTTATTAGATGGATTTTAACACATATAATCTCTTATAGGAGGACCTATAGCAAATTCCCCTTAATGAAGTTAACTTAATCAGCTATAGTCTGAATCCAATCCTAGTACACAGAGGAGAGTACTAACTAATATATAATAAACCTAAGTCTTTGTTTGGTGTATTATATATATGGGCGAATGGCAAAAAAGGCCCATCACATAGAATTTAAATGCATTTTGGTCCAAAAAATAACAGCCTCTCAATTAAACACATCCACATGTCTTTAGTCTAACATACCGTACATAATATATTTTTTATCAATTCCATTCATTATGCTCTAACTTCTTTTATATAACACATTGACCCCGGATTTAAACAAATATATCACATTAACCCCCCAAAAAAAATTCATAAAATAATTATTTTTCTGATTTTTTTTTTCAGGCCAGATTCCGGCGTTGACTTTTTTTTTTTGAAAACTTTTTTTTCCTGAAATTTTTTTCCGGCCGGTCAACCATTGTTGACCGCCGGTCTCCGGCGTTGAATTTCTTTTTTTTTTTCTTTTTGAATTTTTTTTCTTAGAAAAAAATATTTTAATTAATATTACTGTCGTGGCTACTAAATTACTGTCTCAGACAGTAACATTACTGTTTGGGACAGTATTATTATGAATATTATTTTCCCTAACAGTAATATTATTAATATTATTGTCTAAGACATTTAAATTACAGTTGGAGACAGTAATTTAGCAGTCAAGGCAGTAATATTAATTAAAATAATTTTTTTTAAGAAAAAAAAAATTAAAAAAAATCAATTAACAGTTAAATTACTGTCTCCGACGGTTAAATAACTGCTGGAGACAGTAATTTAGCAACAAATATATTAATATTAATTAAAAATATTTTTTTTAAGAATATAAAACTCAATTAACAGTTAAATTACTGTCTCCGACATTTAAATAACTGCTGGAGAGTAATTTAGCAGCAAAGACAGTAATATTAATTAAAATATTATTGAAGAAAAAAAAGAAATAAAAAAGTCAATTAACAGTTAAATTACTGTCTCCGACAGTTAAATAACTGCCGGAGACAGTAATTTAGCAACCAATATGATAAAATTCGAAAATAATATTTAAAATAATATTAAGGAGATAAAAATTTGATAAAAATTGAAAAAAAATTACAAATATGACATTAGGGTTTCTTAGGGTTGCCCTAGCGTTTCTTTCTTTTATATATAAGATCCCTGTTAAACAGACTTTTCAAAAGGAAAAAAAAAATAGAAAAAAGAAATCCACGTGCATATATATAAAACTAGTTCCAAAGTATTACCATATTAAACAAATACAACATACCAAAAATACGTAGATTCCCACGTTGGCAAAATCTGATCATCCTACATACCTTTTCTCGTTCTAACTCTTAACTCTAGTATTCCTTGTACACCAAGGATTATTAATTAACCTAGTATATTATATATATATATATATATATAAGTCCAAAACCTAAAATATACAACCACATTAATAATCTATATATCTTCTCGTCCAGAGTGAAAATATAGCAGTAAACTTTTATTTTTCTTGCACGAGCAATACCAATGCCATGGGTGACAATCAAGATTACCGCCAACAAGCGCTCTCCTGCGATCTTACCCACATGGGATTCACCACTCCACAAGAAACTTACGATCACAATAATCAATCTGAAATCAACTTGAACTTCACTTGGAGAACTGATTTTTCCGAGTGGATGATTCAACATCCATTACAAGAATATCCACAATTTGTTAGCCGATCCAATGAATCCACAACCAATTTCTCCTTTGGAGTGAGCCGCGTGCAGTTTCGGTGTCTCGATGAATTACGCAGAGTCATGGATTTCGAGCTGAGGGGCATTTTAGACGATTACGATTTGCGCATAAACTTGGCTGATCATCTTCTGGCGACAACACTGGCAAACGTCTACATCGATATTCTCGCAGAGGGCGGAGTTTTGGATAATATTTACTTGGACGTGTTGGTAGATAACCAACATATTGTATTTGGAGAAATTAATGACGAGCAATTTAATTGTATGGTTCCCGCGGCGGATTCATCGATAATGTCGTCGTTGAAGAGGGTGGCCGTTGATTCTGATCAGAAGACTAGTTGCTCGATTTGTTTGGAAGATCTCTCACCAGGCGGCAACAATGATTTTGAAGAAGCGTTAAGCATGCCGTGTTCGCATATTTATCACGACTACTGCATCAAGAAGTGGCTGAGCACTAGTCATTATTGCCCACTTTGTCGATTTGAGATGCCAACAACCAATTAGATAGATAGATAGATAGATGGATGTAAATTTGATGCTGTTTAACTTTGAGGTTTTCAGGCTTCATAACTAATGTATTTTTTCAATGCAATCTCGGAGTTAAATTTACTATTATTTTGTGTAGTAATTAAATATTATATATGCAAGTTCAATAAAATTGGTCTTTTATGAATCAGGACTTTTAATTACTTGGTGTTCAGTGGTGTTTAGCAAATTGCCCCTATAAATAAATACACGAAAGAACACACATGGAACCTTTAACGAGACTGAAGTATCCAGTATTTTTTTATTTGTTTTTGGTCTAGAAAATCATCATGTAGACAACATTGTCGAAAACGAAGTGATCCCAGACTCAAAATTTCAAAGCAAAACATAGTTGTCAAAAAACGAAATCCAAATAATTCCATTAGTTACTTCATAAACATGTAGGAACTGAAAGATCATCTTGTGACTTGTACGTAATGAACTCCAAAAAAGCAAACCACCATTTGCAAATAACTAATTACAAAATAAAAAATAGCAACAAGACAACAAAAAACCAAATAACAATTCAAACAAAAGAAGTAACAAATCTCTCTACACTCCTACTTAAAAACGGCGCCAAGAGAGAGTTGTTCATTTAACACTGGTATTGTGTGCCTCGTTTATGAATAATATAGGCTAATGTTGTTTCTTCCCCACACTTACAGGAAACGAAGAATCAAGTTGTAAGCGTTTACTGAGGTGTAATCTTCCACAAACGGATACAAGCATCCTCACCAGAACTAACGACAGTTTCGTCATCAGTAAAAACCAAACCATAAACTCCGCCCAAATGAGCTCCCTTTATCGTTGTCCGACTAGAAGCTGGCTTCTCTACTTCATACACAATTACACAAGTGTCGAGTGATCCAGTCCCAACCATGCTGCTATTTGGAGACCAAGCCAAGCAGTTTATTCGGGCCGTATGGTATAGCATATTTTTAACCTTCACCTGGAAAATATGTATGTATTGTATATGCTTAGGTGGGATATTTGATAGATGATAATACATCGAAGGAAACAAACAACACAAATAATAAACAACAACAACAAGAAGAAATAGATGATGATAATATTAACAAGTAAATAAATATTTAAACTAACAACAACTTCAACAATTCAAATAATTGTAACAACTAATTAAACGAGGGAAACTATTTGGTATCGGTTTTTTTTTAATCTCTATTGCAAAATGCAGCCACTACGAGGCTAAGTGTTAAGAATTTTTTTTCCAAGGTAGGAGGAAAAGACAAATAAATTAGTAAAACATCCATCACATTCCCCGGTAATTATTTAATTACAAATATGATTCCTCACAAAAATGTCGCAAATTTGAGGAGATGTAACAACACTCCCTTGCATCAAGTAAAAAGACATATGATAAAGGAGATACATACGAACTTTGGAGTATCACCACTAGCTGTCATCCATTAGTTTCTACGAATTGCGGTAATTAATTAAAACTACATTTAATTCCGCAAAGCATTTTCCCTCATCCAGCTACCTAAAGGGTCACAGACTAAAGCGAATTAATAGTGTTCAACTCAGATCGGACTCAATGATGAGGTATAATTTAGGAAACCTAGCCCTAAAGCTGATTTGAGCTATACTTAAGAAACATCTAAACCACCCTTTAATAAGACCAATGTAGTTTTACGTAAGCATTAATTATTAATTCTACAATGTCAATTACGGTTCGAAGTGCAAAAAGCACAAGAGTAAGAATCGCTACCTCTCGGGAAGCACAATCCCAAACAACAGCTTCTCGATTAGCATCACCCGAAGCAAACATGGAAACATCTGGAGAATAGCGAATGACAGTGACGGCTCCACGGTGTTTCTCAAGAACAGCCTCTTCTTTCAGAGTATCACCTGTGACAGAGTAGACATGCAATTTTCCATCCTGACCACCCACAATTGCTTCAGTTCCGTTCGGTGAAATAGTACATGCTGTAGCCGTAAATCCAAGGTCGATAGTGGACACAACTTTTGTACCGCGAAGTAGCGTAACACCGGTCTCCGTTGCAATCAATGCAAGATCAGGAGAAAGAAGGGCCAGACTCAAGTCCTTTGGCTGATTGCCAATATCGATGCTATCTGAATCCCCACATTGGTCTCCTTGTAGAGAAGTTCTCCAAACCTTTTCTCAGATAATAAAGTAAGAGAAACCACAATCATTATTAGTACATCTGCACCGACAAATATAAGGATAAGCACTGTCAAATAATTCTAACCTTATTGTCGAATCCGGATGACACAATTTCTTCTTCAACAGCAGCGAAACATTTAATCTGAGAAATCCCCTTCCTCTCCAATTTTCCATAGTATCCAGTACCCTGGACCCACTTAACTATCAAGCCATCATAACTGCTGGACAGTATAAATTTCGTGTCGCTTTTCAGCACCGCCAGTGAACTGACATTTTTCATGTGCCCAGATAGTTCGAGGGGAGCTTTATCAAGATCGGTGGCCGAGTACAAATAAATAGTGCCGCCAAGAGAAACAGTGACGATGTGATTATTCTGCCAGAGACAGCCAACTAACATGTCATCCACTCCACCAGAACCGGGACATGTCAATGTTTTCAGCACCTTTCCATTATTATCACCCGATATCTCCCACACTTTGGCAGACTTGTCGGCAGACACTGTTAGCACCTGAGAGTTAAATTTTACTAGTCAGGAATAAGGAAATTTGACTATTGAATAGAAAAAATTAAGTTGAATAGATCCGGCATGTTTAACACGTATTTGGCTGAACTTATTTTCTTAATATTTGGCAATGTAATATATGCTATTAAAGTTCTAGGAAACACTAACATGTTATAGAATTTAATATGGAGAAGTAAGTAAATGATCAAGAATCGACGACTTCATTGATTCCATACGAGGTACACACTCTTAGGAAAACTAGGCTTTGCTATAGTTATCTTAGTTTAGTTTTTGCACCCTAACTTTCACTTAACTGTGGTTAAATAGATTGGACATTTTTATGTTTGATATGAGGACTATAATATCTAAGAAAAGGATGTTTACTGACTTTCATATTCGTATTGAATGTTAACATTCTTTTATTTCGTTCTCATATTGGCATTCGGTGCACGTCGAATGAAAATAGACCTAACGTCACAGTATCTACATGTAATAGAAAGAAAAAGAGAACATAAATTACTACCAACATTATGTCCAAAACAGAATTTATATCAATTGCGTAACAAAAAAGTTGCCATGTTATTCATCAATTGCATGTACTGGAAATATTCATCTAGTCTATAGGTTCGGTCGATTGGATTGGGCGGTGAGGTAGGTCGATTAATACAATAATGGCGTTATGTCATTTAATTTTTCTGCCGGATAAAGATGTATAAGTTCCCAGTAGGACGGTGTATAAGGTAATATCAGCATACAAAAACTCCATTTTTCCGATCTGAAGCAATAAATTTCTTTGATTAGGTGGTTCCATGTTCTATATAACATCCGATTTTTCCGATTTCACTAATAGTTAATTCTCATTAAATAAGCAATTTCCCCAAGTTAGAATCTCAAATCGAGAGTCAGGAAACAATTGCACTGACATACTAGAGTTGTGTACATGTCATGTCAGAAATACCTGTTTACTGTCAGGACTCCAACTAATTGCGTATATGCTGCCTTTGTGGCCATCCTCAGAAGATAGCTCTCCAATTATGTCTGCAGTTTTCGCATCAAATATTATACCCTTTTTGTCAGAGCTTACTGTGATAAATTTCGTCCCATCTGGTGAAAAACGAACGCAATTTACAAAATTTGAATGATCCCTGCAGGCCAAAGTACCATGAAACATTGAGAAGTCAAAAAACAAAAACAGGAGGAAGAATAGTCCCAACACACAATAGTATCATTAGGCAAGTAAATAAACGAACTTATTCCTAATCTTAAATATGATAATTAAAGATGTGTTATAGGAGGGAAAAAAAAGTAGTATTGCATAAATAAAGAATCTGAAGTTTTTCTAGTCAAATCAGTGTAAGAGTCCCTCTAATAACATTCACTAGTCATAGCATAAATCAATTTCAAGAGCAAGTCCTAAATCTAAAAACTAAATCACCATGTTGCTCTTATACATCATAATTTTGATAATTTATAGTGTGCATGGATTGGAAAAATATCAAGTTCTAATTAAACAGTAAAGATGAGGAACCTATGAGACAGCTTGAACTTAAATGGAGGTCCTTCATAGAAGTTAACCAAAAAGTCCTCGCCGCATGTTACGATTCGGAATGGTCTTGTTGGCTTAAATGCACAACTTAAAACTCTTTTCGAGTGCCCATCAAACTCTCCAACATTAGTTCCTGAGTCCCACCTGCAAATAAAGTTGGATAAGAGAGTTATGAATCGTAACATCATGGAACTAATGAAAAAACCACAATTTATTCAGATAATAAATATTAAGAAGTGCTAGCGGAGATAGTTCTGAAAAGGAAATGTTTAAATATATAAATTTTGCGTGAAGACAGTTTAAAGAAAACCTGAAACCAGTGCAACAAAACTCAATTTCTAAGAGTTGCCAAAGTTTGACACCCTATTGCATCAATAGTAATGTCTCTGTGATGCTCTAGACCAGACCCAAAAAATAAAGAGACTATGTCCCAGAAATATGTCGAAGATACTTTTTCACAAAACCGTTGTATTCCACAGAAGCCACACTATTGTGAAGTCAAAGGAGATTTGTTTTGAAAATTACTATCTATTATTGTTTAGTAAGTACTCAACCATTATGCATGCGAAACAAATGTCTCACTATTCATAAAAAATCCAAGTGGACTCGTTACAGTACATTTCCAATGCACATGATTGTCGTAGAGTACGAAACTTTATAATTAACTGAACGTAATTTTCCTTAGCAAGTGCCACTATCTTACAAGGCTTGCTCTGGAGTCAGGAATTAAAGCATGATTCTGTTATATCTGAAGGGCCATTTTGAGTTGAGTTTTGAAGCTTCGGGGAGACAGAGTTTGAGGCATAATTCTGCCCGAAGGGCCATTCTGGTAATTTGAAAGATCAATGCCCCAACAAACATTGATAACATTGTTTGTTTGTAGTCATATTGAAAGTATCACTTAAATCGTTGACAAGAACAGGTAAAATCTCATTGTTTTAATCAACAGTTAAGTCAGAGCATCCCTTAAATGTGATAAAGAGCTAACTAAAAGTTAGTCACAGTAATAAAAGAGAGAGTTAAAAACAGGCACTGTATCCCTAACCATTTCATGTGCTGAATGACTACCCGACCTTTTTCAAACTTGTTTTGATGCGTACATGTTTAGCAAAGGGATAGTGCGGAATTTGCAATTCAAAACCAGGATTAGATGAGAGAGGTGGTATTGACACTAAGATTCAGCTTTCTTGTTCCATCATCCAACCCAACTAACGTCACCTCTGTCATATTTATTCAAATTAGGACCCAAAAAGTATCATACACTTCGGGAGCAAATAACTCTGTGACACCTCAATGACATAACCTAAAAAAACGTGTAATAAGTTATCTAAAAATACTATAGATACTAATGTATTAGCTATTTGAGTAGCACGTCATATTACTCCGTTTCATTAGTTCCATCAAAACGATTCAATAATTGATAGTTTTAAGACGATTCTAGGCATTTTATCCTACAAATATCCACAACTTTCACCAGCAACAAGCTGAATAATCTTAAACATTACGTTCTCCAAGTGCTTCCAACACGTAGCTCACGAAAAAAAAAAAAATTTGATTGCAAACCCACCGTAATGACTTGTTAAATAGCTCAAATAGAAGCTAAAACATTTGAAATTCATTGTATTGTGAAATCATTCGTACAAGTCCAATGATTGTTTCATAATAGATTAAAATCCTATAAATCTCCGTCAAAATGCAACCTTATCGAAACTTCTCACCACAGCTCATATCATTAACCAAACCCAAGAGCAAACTATAGCGTTCGATTCGTGACAGCAAACCATTTCCAAGAACACATTTAAGAATAAAATGGACTGCACACACACACACACACACACACACACACACACACACACACACACACACACACACACACACACACACACACACACACACTATGTGCTGTTGCTCCAATTTACTTGACTTGGAATATTAACAGAAAATGTATCAATTTTCCATCTCTCATCCAAAATTCGTGCACATAAATATGGAAATCGAACTTACATTAACAAACATAAAAAGATATTATATGTTGAAAAAGGAGAGGAGACTCACATAAAGGCGCGAACCAAGGATTTGCCCTTGCCGTCACCGGAGGCGACAATGCGTTCCCCATCAGGGGACCACTGAAGGTCGTCGATCCGACCCGAAAGTACCCTGAACTCCTTCTTCAGGACGAACTCGTTGCGGGTCCCCCAGATCCGCACCGTACCCGACACGTCAGCAGACGCGATCCACTCTCCGTTGGGCGAGTACCGCGCCACCGTGGCAGGGTAGCCGTGCTCGCCGTACACCTGGACCTCCAACGGACGGTCGAGATACCTAATGATGACGGATCGCCCGTTGCAATACAGTATTGAATTGGATTTCGGGTCGCCCGATATCAGGATGCCCCGGCCGCGTTCCGTCGACGGCACGCACGCGAATGTTTCTGCTAGCTGCGCCATTTTCGTTTCCGATTTTGTCCTTTTGCCCTTATCTGGTGTGGGGATTGTTCTTCAGAGGGTTACTTTTTTCAGATGGTTGAAAAGTGAGAGTGGAAGATGATTGGGAATGGGGAATTGCTATTTATAGGATTTGCTGTGTGTTTGGGCAACGTGGTGAATTAAATGGCTGCCATGTAAGAAATAGCAGTTGTAAGTTGTTAACTGGTGCCCCAATTTAGACTTTGGCATTTCTTCTTCCCTTTCTTTCTTTTTTTTTTTTTTTTTTTTTTAATTAGTGAAAACCCCTAATTCATTTAGTTGTACGGCGAATGGCAAAAAGGTTCATCACATGGGACTTAAATGCACATTCGTCCACAAAAAAAACAGTCTCTCAAATAAATCCATGCCTAGGGATGGCAATGGGTACGGGTTTGGCGGGTTTTGGACCCGGAACCGACCCGTTTGGGGCGGGTCTGGGTCAGCTAAATGGTTCTGGGTCGGGTAATGGGTTTAAGTTTCTAGAACCGGATGGTTCTGGGTCGGGTTATGGGTCTTATTGGAACCGACCCGGAACCGACCCGTATATATATATATATATATATATATATATATATATATATATATATATATATATATATATATATATATATATATATATATATAATTTCGAGTTTCATTTATCAAACTATCAATTTGCATCTTGTCTATTCTCATTCACCTATTTTCACTATTTTATTTTTCGAATCTCATTTCTCGTGAGTAATATTTATCACTTGTCGACCACCGCTAATTGTCTTGCATTTTGAATTTTACTTATTATCGAAGTTAAATATAATTAATTGTAATTTTATTGTTCATGTTATGTCACTTGTAGAGATTTTTTAAAATGTTGTATTTTAGTATTGAAATTATTTCGTAAAAATATCCAAGCAAAATGTTATGAAAGTTAAAAAATATTAAACTTTTTGTATGTTATGGGTCTAGCGGGTCTAGCGGGTCGGAACCGTTTAATTAGGGTTTGGGTTGGGGCGGGTCTTGGGTTTATATATTTTTCGTGGGTTGGGTCTTGGGTTTAGGCAAACCCGGCCCAGAACCGACCCGTTGCCATCCCTATCCATGCCCCGTGTCTTTAGTCTAAAATACCCTCCATAATATAATTCTTATCAATTCCATCCATTATGCTCTAGCTTCTTTAATATTACACATTGACCCCGGATTTAAACAAATATATCACATTAACCCCGATATATTTTTTTTTCAGAAAATAATTTTTTTTTTTTGAATTTTTATTCCCGGTGTTGACTTTTTTTTCTTTTTTTTTTTTAACTTTTCTTTTTCCTATATTTTTTTTCCGGTCGGTCAACCACTGTTGACCGCCGGTCTCCGGCGTTGACATTTTTTTTTCTTAGATTAAAATATTTTAATTAATATTATTGTCTTGGTTACTAAATTACTGTCTCATACAGTAATATTACTGTTTGGGACAGTAATATTATGAATATTATTTTCCCGAACAGTAATATTATTAATATTATTGTCTAAGACAGTAAAATTACTGTTGGAGACAGTAATTTAGAACTCAATACAGTAATATTAATTAAAATAATTTTTTTTAAGATTTTTTTTTTTTAAAAGTGAATTAACAGTTAAATTACTGTCTCAAACAGTTAAATAACTGCTGGAGACAGTAATTTAACAGCCAAGACAGTAATATTAATTAAATTATTTTTTTTAAGAAAAAAAAAAGTCAATGCCGGAGACCCGGCGGTCAACGAGAGTTGACCGGCCGGAAAAAAATTCAGGAAAAAAAAGTTTTCAATATAAAAAAATAAAAAAGTCAACGCCTGAGAGAGGTGGTCAACGGCGGCGACCGGCGGTCTTTAGTAGTGGCGGGTCAAAATTGAAATTAGGGTTAAAATTGGTTCATTGATGAAATTAGGCTAAATTGGGGTGTAAATCATGAAATTAGAGTTGAATTGGGTTTCAATGAATTGTTGTTAATTTTGGTATATATAAAAGGATTTTCCGTGTTTACAAATAAGTTTGAATGAGCTGGATTTATTTAAAAGACAAAAAAGTTGGATGTCCCTCTTTTAATTAAGTGCCCTTGATGAGCGGCGGTGACGAGTGCACGAACAACGGTGGCTATGATGAGCGGACTATGGCGGTGGTGTGAAAAAGATGAAGGAGCACGCCGGCGGGTATACAAATCAGTATAAAAGAAGAAAAAAAAAAGAAGAGAAATTGAGAGAGAGAGAGAGAGAGAGAGAGAGAGAGAGAGAGAGAGAGAGAGAGAGAGAGAGAGAGATAGAGAGAGGTGACAGAGTGAGATAAAATTGTATCACCTTAAAAACCTAACCACATAAGGACACTTTAGTCTTATCATGTCTGGTCAAGGGGTCTCACTAATTAAAAATGAAACGTGGGTGTAGGCAAAAGTCTCTAAAAGTCAATTCAATTTATTTCAAAATATTTTTCATTTAAGGGGTATTGTTTATTGTCCATTTGATATACACCCCTAGCATGGAAAATATATAGGAATAAGTCCACCCCTAAAATTCTTCCTTTGAGATAACCCCTGGAGAGGCAAAAGTACTATTGTGCTCTTATGTGCATTTTCGCCCAACTGCATTTATTATTTTCGCCTTGCATTCAACATAATGCCAAACTGCATTTAGATTTTGGACCTGCATTTAGATTTTGGGCCTGCATTTATCATTTTTACAGATTTTTATAATAAAAAAATATAAATGTTTATTTTATTATTATTCTTTTATATATACCCTATTTTCTGTTTTTTTTATTATTTTTTATTTTTTTAATTTTTTTAATTTTTTATTTTTTTTAATTCCATTTTTTTTTAATTTTTTAATTTTTTTTTTATTTTAATTTTTATTTTAAATTTTTTTTTAATTTTTTAATTTTTTTGATAAATTTATTGTACCGAAATTGACTACACATGACTATATTATACTACACATAATTGTAATATACCACAATCATGCATGTTATGTAATCATGTACTGTTTTTTTACCAAAATTAATCTACACGAACAACAAAATTTACAATTTCAATCTTGATATTATAAATCAACTAACCCAAAAAAAAAAAAAAAAAAAACACAATCACATCCATAAAATCTTCAAAACATGAACACGCATTACTATACATTAAAAAACACATAACACATATATAACTATATGTTACTACACGTGACTATAGTTATCTACAATTATCTACAATGAAACGTCACATGACACTTCTGTGCATCTTATTCTTTGCATCTCATAATGTTACACAAAGCAAAACCTGTGACAAAAAATACAAGTTAAAGAAAACGAAGAACAAAAATGGAACAAGCGAATTATATTACGTGAAAAACTAAAAAAAACAATGAAATACATTTTTTTGATAAATTTATTTTGGTGAACTATAGTCACAAGTAGTTGTTACTGCATATGACTAGATATGACTATATGTAGTCAACTATAGTCACATGTAGTTATGTTCATTCATGTTACTATATGTGACTATGTATGACTATATGTATACGATCATATGACTATATATGTATATGAATAAAATTCATCTACACCACAAAAAAAGTTCACAACTGTTTAAGATAATGAATTTTGCAATCCCTGCCAGATGCTGCTGCAACATTCATTATACTTTATTTAAAAAAAAAAAAAACACGAAAAAAAAATCAAAACACAATTATCGGGCTTTGTGCAGTTTCCAATTTACCACCTTGGTACTAAGACAAACCATAGAAACTTGATTAAATCACGTAATGAACAAAACCTCCCAAATCCGTAGGGGAATAAAACGAATCTAAAGCGCAGATGGGGAAAACGGAGAACGGGAAAATATAAAACGAATCTGAAACGAAGACGAGGAAATATAAAACGAATCTTAAACGAAGATGGGGAAAACAGAGAATGGGAAAATATAAAACGAATCTGAAACAAAGACGAGGAAATATAAAACGAATCTAAAACGAAGATGGGGAAAACGGAGCAGGAAAAATATAAAACGAATCTAAAACAAAGACGGGGAAAACGGATCGGAGCAGGGGAAAAATAATACAAAACAATAGAAAACGGAGCACCTTGAAGATGTAGATCTCGTACTTCTCCACGCTCTTCTTCGTCTCGTACAAATCATCGAAATACGGATCTCGTGCGGTGGAATATGGATTTGTTCTCAGCGTGGGGGGCAGCGGTGGCAGACGGTGGCGGAGGAAGCGCGTCGGCGGGCGGCGGCTGCTTGCGGAGCATCGGTGAACGTCGGTGGGGGAGCGGCGTCGCAAGGCGGTGGCGGAGCAGCGGGCGGGTGAGCAGATCTGGCGGATCAGCGGTGGGGTGAGGGTTTGTGGATATAGAGAGTTAGAGAGAGAAAGAGAGTTAGAGAGATATGAAGAGGGGGTGGGGATAACGGCTGATACGTGTGATTGAAAGAGAGAAGGTTGGGGCTAGGGTTTTATGTATTGAATTAAAACTAAAAGGGTAAAATAGTTTTTTCAAGTTGTCTAGGGGGTCTCACTAATTAAGATCAGATTTTGGATTTTTAACTAGGAAAGAAAAAATTGTTGGGGCTCCTCATATATATTTTGAAAAGTAGGGGGTTATCAATTATTTCCCCTTGTTTATTTCCCCTTTATCAAATCGTGTGTCATTCTCTTCTCCAAAGTTGCGTCAAATCGCCCGCAAATATTAGGGCAAAATTCCCTTTTTTATAGCTTCGAACAGGCTTCCAAAATAATCCCTTCTTTGCATCTATGAAAATCTCAAAATTGCCATTCTAGACCGTACGCGCTTGCTCGTGCTATCCAAGACACACCAATATTCCAGACGCGAGTACACAACTTGATAAAATTATCAATTAGAAGATTCCCTTCACCACCATTGTTTTTGGATTTTTGCAGAGCATTAATTAGGGAAGTTAGAATTGTTTGCAAAATTGATAAAATGGAATGCACTAAGTATATTGTCTCAAGGGGTTTGGCCTCCTTGTGTTACAATTTCCCCGAGTTAATTGCATAGACCCCCCTCTGTCTCTCTTTTTGGATCGATCTATATATATGGTAATTTAATTACCTTCCTTTAATGCCTTTCTTTTGTTTTATTATTTTGTTTTATCTTTTAAGTA